TGGCAAATGTCGAATTTTGTTGGTGAATCACTAACGGTGAGTCACTTGCGCTAGTCGAACGCTGATTCATCAGCGCTGAAGTGGGAGACGTCTCTGGGATTCGGGACGTTACTAATGGTTGTTGTTGTAACTGGTGACTTAAATTAGAATTTGGGTCTACATTGGATATGGAATTATGGATAAAATATTGTGGGTGAGAGTGAGGAGAAACGCTCACTGAGTAGAATTGGTCATTCACGCTGTCATAACCATACAGAAAAATTTCGTTTTTTTCTGCAACGAATAGCATGAAAAGTACATATATTAAAATTATCTAGCAACTGGGTTTTGTAGAGCAAACATGTTTCTGCAAGATGAGCTACGGTAGAAGCCGGCATATTGTATATTTCTGTGGCAATCGCTTTTCGATGAAGAGCCTAAAATAGGTTAACTTTTAAGAAATCAATTTTTTATAAGTATTAGATTCAAGAAGAAGAATATTCTCATAGCTCATTAGTGGCGGAGCCATCAACAGGGCTAGAGTGGGCTGAGTCCTGCCTAGAAAGCTCTGAGCCCCGCCTAGACAGTTTTTAAAAAGACAGTTAAAAATTTATTAGCACTACTTCAGACCGAACTCCAGAAAAGTGATGGGCTGAGCCCTGGCTAGCACGAAATCCTGGTTCCGCCGCTCATCTTGTAGAAAAATGTTTGCTCTATAAAACTCAGTTGTTAGAAAAATTTTACAGAATCAATTTTCGTTAAAAATAGGGTTCTGCAAAAAACGTGCACAATTTCTATCGGTTATAATCGGTGTATGCCTATCTGCCATATCATTCTGGCTCTTCAAAGCTTGATTTTCTTTTAAGCTGCTGGCATGGCACGTAATTTAAGCTCTCGAACTTCCAGTTTTTCAATGTAAAGCTGTACGAAATGCATGTTTAACTATTCAATAGTCGTTTATCATTAAGTACAGCCTATGATGTTTTTATGTTCCTTAAACAACCATGTTATTTTTCTTTCGTTTCCGACCACCCGTTCTAATTTTATTTTTATTTTATTGTAGTCAATGCTCGATGTTTGGACTTTTGACTGGTATTTAATGAGACAAATTAGCAGGGACCTTAACTTTGCATTCTTTTCTCCTATTTAAAACAATCATATCAATCTGCAGGATATTAGGAGTTTGTTACTCTAGAAACTTAATCTGATACTCGAAAGATCGATAGTGTAAAGAGACTTCGTGCCATACATTGTTGTTAATGATTGTGTTTCATGATTTGAAAGCTGATGGATATATTTCTTGTCTGATCCATGTGCTTTGGAGGAAACCTGTGTTGCAATTACTGGGGTTACTAGAAATCTTAACTAAACGCTTAAGTTACTTTCAGATCGAAAAATAATATAAAATTTAACTTTTACCTACATTTTGGTCTATAGTGTAGAAAGTTAAACCGAAATCCGCAGATCTTTACTAGTACCACCTTGATGAGTTAGCTTTCTCTTTCCTTGTTTTCAAATGTTCGTTCAGAATAGACTGTCCTGACGGCTTGCCCACGTAACGGTACACTTCACTGATCAAGTTTTTGAAAAAAATTTTTTCGATATCGAAAGTTTTGAATGGTTTTCAGAAAAGTTCATTTTTCATCCAAAAAACCTGGTTTTGAACCAGATATAAAAACCTGGTTTTCAGAAACCAGATATTTAATGTTGTAACTAAAAACATTTTTTAAACAAATTTCTAAAGATATGCTTTTGTACAGAATTGAATTCTCTACAAAATGGTGTATTTGTTTTTGAGTTTACTTGCTATGTACAATTTGTACATAGTTGTACAGTTTCCGCCTTACTGTCCAGTTTTTGAGCTCCAATTTT